CATTTTGGTCGCCCTCCACTGGACCCTCTCCAATGCGTCCACATCCTTTCTATAGCGGGGGAGCCCAGAACTGGACACAATACTCCAGATGTAGCCTCACCAGAGCCAAATAAAGGGGAATAATAACATCTCTGGATCTGCTAGAAATGCTCCTTCTAATGCACCCTAATATGCCATTAGCCTGCTTGGCTACAAGGGCACACTGTTGACTCATATCCAGCTTTTCATCCACTGTAATCCCCGGATCATTTTCTGCAGAACTGCTACCTAGCCATTCTGTCCCCAGCCTGTAACTATGCTTGGGATTCTTCCATCCCAAGTGCAGGACTCTACACTTGTCCTTGTTGAACCTCATCATATTTCTTTTGGCCCAATCCTCTAATCTGTCCAGGTCACTCTGGACTCTGTCCCTGCCCCCTCCAGCATATCTACCTCTCCTCCAGCATAGTATCATCTGCGAACTTCTTGAGGGTGCAATCCATCCCCTCATCCAGGTCATTAATAAAGATGTTGAACAAAACCGGCCCTAGAACAGATCGTTGGGGCACTCCACTAGAAACCGACTGCCATCCTGACATCGAGCTGTTGATCACTACTCGTTGGGCCCTACTGTCTAGTCAGCTTTCTGTCTATCTTACAGTCCATTTATCCAATCCATATTCCCGTAACTTGCTGGCAAGAATATTGTGGGTGAACATATCGAAAGCTTTGCTAAAGTCAAGCTATATCACATCCACTGACTCCCATATCCACAAAGCCAGTTACCTCATCATAGTAGCTAATCAGATTGGCCAGGCATGACTTGCCCTTTATGAATCCATGTTGACTATTTCTGATCACTTTCCCCTATTTGAAGCGCTTCAAAATGGATTCCTTGAGTATTCCCTCCATGAATTTTCCGGGGACTGAAGTAAGGCTGACTGGTCTGTAGTTCCCTGGATCGTCCTTCTTCCCTTTTTTAAAGATGGGCACTACATTTGCCTTTTTCCAGGCATCTGGCATCTCTCCCGATCTCCACGAGTTTTCAAAGATAATGGCCAAAGGCTCTGCAATAACATTCGCCAACTCCCTCAGTACCCTCGGATGCATTAAATCCGGGCCCATGGATTGGTGTATGTTTAGCTTTTCCAGATAGTTCCTAACTTGTTCTTTCCCCACCAAGGTCTGCCCACCTCCTTTCCATACTGCCTTGCCTAGTGCATTTGTGTGGGAGCTGACCTTGTCCATGAAGACAGAGTTACTGTCAGCTGTTATTATCTGGCTGTTGGGGTGGGCACTAATAAAAGAGTGCCCTGGCTTAAATAAAAGGAGGAGGGAAGAAAAGGAGTAATTTTTGTGAAATGACTTTTTCAAAAGGGACTCTGCTGCTTGAAAAAAAAAAAACACTTTCTGGGACTAAATAAAATAGGCTTAAATTTGAGGTGGTGTACGTTTGCTAGTCCGTACCCAATCACATTTTCAGATTATATGAAAAGGGGTCTTTATTACACGGAAAAAAAAGCTCAGTTTCTTTTCACTAAGAAAGAGTACCTCAGGCTTTCTGTGGCTAAGAGTTGGGTAAGGCTTGTTTCACCTACCTCTCATGCAACAGATAGAACTGAGAATTTTTCATATTTTCACTCATTGTGAAGGGAGAGTTTATTTCTGCCCATTCCTCACTGTCAACTCTGCATTGCAGCACCTGGCTTTGTAGTCTTAGTAATAATTAATCTTTAAGGTAGTGAAATGATGAACTTAGGTTGTGTCCTTTGCTTTTCAGTGGCATTCATTTTGTTTGATGATGAAAGTGTGTGTACTAGAGAGGCATCTAGAATCCTGATTAATAATAGCTAAAAACCACAAATATGGTATAAGTTAACTTTTTTTTAAACAAAACAGTAAAAAAGATTTTAAAAATTGCTATTTCCCGTAGCATTTATCAATTAGGAAATGGAATAGTATCTGTTTACCAAGCTAGGACCTCTGCTGTACAAGCCAATGCATCATGATTCAGCTTCCATCACTTTTTTTTATACGGTCCATCCTATAGCACAGCTTGTTCTCTTCCAAATGCCACTTTAGAGCTGCTGCCCAAAGAAGAGGAAGCCTCTTACCTTGAGCCAAATAACTACCTCGCAGGTGGTTCATGGGAGTTATGTTAAGGGATGGGTAGAAGAGATTAAGGACACCAGTCCTCCCTGACACCTCCTAAAAAGGCGGGGGAGATAAATTGTAGTTCAGATGGTTGAGAATGTATACAAAAGACCTTGGTGCTAAACAAGCTTCATATGAGTACCTAGAAGGAGTGAAGCCTGTTTCAAGTGCTCAGCATCATTTGAGATGTCTCACCGCAAATTTAGGACCACATTCTCATTACCTACTCTTTGTTCTGTTGAGACTAAGGTACAGCCTGCTTTTCCTATCCCTCCACAGAGCATCTCTTTGGCTCTTTGGAGATAGAGAGACCATGGCTACGCTTTGCTGAGAGATTGGCTTCAACTGGCTTTTTCAGAAGACATACCTCCCATCACTGTGCAGTACTATAGCTGCCTCCTGTAGCCTCCCATCTCAGTACATCTGCTTTAGGATGCCCATAATTTGACCCTAAAGTTTGAGGTTTGGCTTTTTTACTAGTCTCATCAACTCCAATGGTGAAATGTCCTCTTGTTTTTGCTGTTAGGATCTTTGCAGAAAGCTATTTAGAAAACTATCAATAGAGCACACACATATACCAGAAAGTCATGGGATCTTTGACATTGATTTCAATAGGAGCACGAGCAGGTTTAGAATGATTTGGTGAGGAAAACATTTTGACTGTTGATCCAGCTCCTCATTCAGATAAGATCTGTCAAAAGAACCAGCTGTTCAAATGTATGTTACTGGATTGCTTTCTTTTTAATTATTTCCCAGAGTCATCTGAAATAGCTTGTATAGCTTCAGAACTTTCCTGGCAAATCCATTTTTGTTTGTATTCATAACAAGAATTATTTTCTGAAGCCAAAAACATCTGGAGGTTTTTTTTTTTTTGGTATTGATTTGTTTTTAATACAAATTTTTTTGTATGCTAATGTTGCTTTATGGTGCAACATACCACACAGAAATATGGCAAAGCTTTGAAGCCTAGTGACTGATGTTCAGTCACTGCTGTCAAAGATATTCATTCTGATACTTCTGAAGCTTATTTCAAGTTTAACTGTACTTTTGGTGGCTTGCTCAAGGTAAACAAACAAATCATCTCAGTTTCATCCATCAGTAATAGGCTTAGCAGCTAGGAATCATAACAGTTAGGTCTTGTCTTCCTATGGAATTATTCCAGAATAGCTATTTTCTAATTAACTTCAAAGTGTGAATATTTCCTGTATTTAAGACATTCTCATTCTGAAATGAGTAGATAGAGAGTACTCTTATTAAGTTTGCAGATGATACCAAACTGGGTGGGGTTGCGACTTCTTTGGAGGATAGGGACATAATTCAAAATGACCTTAGCAAGTTAGAGAAATGGTCAGAGGTAAACAGGATGAGGTTTAATAAGGAGAAATGCAGAGTGCTCCACTTAGGAAGGAACAATCAGTTCCATACATACAAGATGGGAAGCGACTGTCTAGGAAGGAGCATGGCGGAAAGGGATCTAGGGGTCATAGTGGACCACAAGTTGAATATGAGTCAACAGTGTGATGCTGTTGCCAAAAAAGCAAATATGATTCTAGGTTGTATCAACAGGTGTGTTGTAAGCAAAACTCGTGAAGTCATTCTGCCGCTCTACTCTGCACTAGTTAGGCCTCAGCTGGAGTACTGTGTCCAGTTCTGGGTGCCACATTTCAAGAAAGATGTGGAGAAATTGGAAAGGGTACAGAGAAGAGTGACAAGAATGATTAAAGGTCTAGAGAAGCCTATGAAGCCAGGCTTCATGAACTGGGCTTGTTTAGTTTGGAAAAAAGAAGATTAAGGGGGGACATGATAGTGGTTTTCAAATATCTAAAAGGGTGTCACAAGGAGGAAGGCGAAAATTTGTTCCTCTTGGTTTCTGAGGACAGGACAAGGAGTAATGGGCTTAAAGTGCAGCAGGGGAGGTTTAGATTGGACATTAGGAAAAAATTCCTAACTGTCAGGGTGGTCAAATATTGGAATAAATTGCCAAGGGAGGTGGTGGAATCTCCCTCTCTGGAGATACTTAAGAACAGGTTAGATAGACATCTGTCAGGGATGGTGTAGATGGAGATTGGTCCTGCCTTGAGGGCGGGGGGCTGGACTCGATGACCTCTCGAGGTCCCTTCCAGTCCTATGATTCTATGAGTCTATGATTCTATGCATGGAGTTAATCAGGAATCACTAATATTTTTTAAATATACACCTCATCTTATTCCAGATAACATCCTTGTTTATCTATACATAAAAGTAAACTAACAAGTAATTTACTAGTTGAGTAGTTGATCAAATTTCCACCGACTAGTCGATAGGAGTCCCCAGCTGACCCTGGGCTCCATGCAGCGCTGCTGCTTTGAAATGCCATTGCGGTGTTTCAAAGGAGCAGCACCACACGGAGCATGGGCTCTGTTCAATGCTGCCACTTTGAAGTACCCTCTCTTTCCCCCCCCTCCCCCTTGCTGCCTCTATCTGATAGAGGCAGCAAGGGGCAGAGGAAATCAACTAGTCAGTTCGACCATCCAATAAGTATTTGCTTATCAGATAGTCGACTAGTCCTTAACATCCTTTATAGACAAGCCCTCAGGCATGTAATCTGCTCTGTTCAAAGCATCTGAAAACAAATGCTACAAAAATTGAATGTTGGCATCCTATTAAGACAACTTGGTTTTCATGTTTATCACCCAAACTACTTGTTGATCGGCATTTCTCACAACAGAAACTTGCCCAGGATTCATTTACAAAAAGTTTTTGGATTGAAAGTTAATTAGAAGTTGCAAATTCCAAAGCAACATTCTGTTTAATTTGTGCTGCTTCTGAATCCTTGATCCATTTTCCATGTTGTATCTTGACTAGTTACCTTCACGTGTGTCTTTCAGGGAAAGTCCTACCCATTCCAGGGTGCATTCCCTCCAGTATGGAATCCCATCACTTACCTGGATTATAACAACCTCTGGAGGACAATGGATGAAATGGGGAAAGAGGTATGATGTAATGTGGATTGTGCATAAATCTATCAAGAGATTACACAATCAATATTGGTGTCATAGGGAATAGACTTTTTTTTTTTACATGTAGGTTCAGAAAAAGTCTTTCAGAATTCCCATATAGAGTGTCAGACAACAAACAAAACACTGTACAATATCAAGGTACATACGCTGAAAAGACCCAAGTAATTTTATGGCTAAAGACTGGAGGCTGAAATGTGCTATTTTACTAAAGTGTTTTGAAAAATGTCAGGCCCTGGAACATAGAAGGCTAGATTGTATTTAAACACAATCTACCCTTTATAAAGGGTATAGCTGCACAGCCCCAGGCAAAATATTGTGCGTCACAGAGGTAAGATTCCTGCCTTGCTTGAGGAGAATAGTAATATGAGCATAGTAGTATGAGAATAGTAATCTAGACCAGTATAGGAATACTACCTCCTAGGGTGGAGTAAATGTGCTATCAATTTTATTGGGAAAGGGGCAAATTCAAGAATCTGCCCACTTGCTTTAGAATGGGTAAAGTGGCAGATGTGCTTAGCACTTGTTTTCCCTTACCAAAAGTCTTGGAAGGGCATGCCAGGAGAGGTATGGGATGGGATGTGTCTTATTACCTCTCCCTAGAAACACTTGTTACGATAATATCGATGCTCTTGTTCAGCTATGTAAGATGGACTATAGGCTAGCTCAGAGTATTTTTTTTTTAAATCACAATGTGTAAAAGCTTCCAAAACTGGACTTTTAAAATTCTTGGCCATCCACCATGCAAATAAATCCCTGCAGAGGCCTACAAACTTTGAAATACCTGTCAAATGTTCTGTGACCTTATTACTACATTAGGGGCTAATCCAGCAAAGACTTACACAAATAAATAACTTCACTCACACAAGGACAAGTTACTCACGTGTAAAATTTTGCAGGATCAGGTACACACTTTATGTTGTACCTATGCTACATGCTTTCTCCCCAAAAGATTTGTTAATACTTTCCTTTGACAAGATTCATAAACAGTAGTGTATTCGTGTGTTGAGAATTGTAGGCAGCAGATCAGCATTAAAAGCATAGTTCAGTTTTACTATGTGCATAAAAGGCCAGCTACTGCCCTAAGTTATACTCTGGATTTCCACAAGTGTATCTATTGATCAAATAGATGTAGTGCAGATTTACACCAGTGTACCAGTAGGTAAGAGCAAATTTGGACCATTATATTAGCAGGCCTGGGATGGCGACCTTAACATGATTGGAGTTATATGCTATGCGCTAAGTTTAACGTTTTGCCTTCCTTTGTAGATCCCTGCTGATGCACCCTGGGCAGCCCCACATGCTGCGGAATGGGATAAAATGACTATGAAAGAACTCACTGACAAAATTTGCTGGACCAAGTAGATAACATTTTGTTCGCTTTTAAATCCTCTGGTTTCCTGAACACGCTATGTAATGATGTGTGTATTGTGCATTTGCTGATGTCTTGATCATGATCCTGTTGACTTCTAGTGGGTCAGGTCAGACTTCAGTTTTGCAAATGATACAAAGGGAAAAGGGATTGCAATCATTTAGGAGGAAAGAATTTGAAAATGCAGAATGAGCCTCAAAGTTTCTGAAACTATTGAAAATCAGTTTGTTGAAGACAAAGGCAAGGTGGCTAATGTATGAAGAAATAATTGAATGCTCAAGTAAAGACTGGAGGATAATTGGGTGGATGGTAGAAAGAGGGAAGATTGGAAAGGTACAGTAGATGATAAATTGAATGTATTAACAGTGATGTGCTGTCCCAAAGGCAGTGAATGTGATACTAGATTAACTTCTTTTACATAGGAAATAACCTTTTTTTCTTCTGTCTGTTCAGCACTAGTTAGGCCACAAACAAGGGTAGATTTTGGCAGTGTGGTATATAAAAAAAAGTTTGACAAATTAGACAAGCTCAAACATGATAAATAAAAATGAACTTTACAGCAGTTGGTCTGTGAGGGTAGATTAAGAGTTGAACATGCAAGGAGCTGAGTGCCTTCTGTGAGAACTGAGCATCTCACGGATCAGAACCTGACAGCATCAGGGCCTGAGACGGTAAGGTTTTGTGGGAATGTGGCTTTTCCTTGACAGTGTCATGCACGTTCTAGATGCTATCTGAATAAAAACTACACCACTGCATGGATGTGGAGTCAACAGCCCCCTTTGTAGTCTGCTCTTCTTTCCCCATTTTGTAGCATCCTCACTATTAGAAGACAAACAGAGCCAAGTACACTGTAATAAACGTATCCCATCCTGGTGTTCCTTATCTGTATTTAAGTACAGTATATTTTATTTTGGCAGCCTGGCACAGTTACTTTTTCTTTCTTACTCTCCCTCCCTCCCCTCCCTCTCCCGCCCCTCCCCCCCAAAATCCTCCTTCTACTCTGTTTGTTTCTTCCAGAATATGGGCACTTCTTTCTGTCCTGATCATTTTTGCATTATATTTTCCATACAGTTAAATTTATAAGCCACTTCTCTGCAGAGAAAGCGGCGAGGAGTCCTGTGGCACCTTATAGACTAACTGAAGTGTAGGAGCATAAGCTTTCGTGGGCAAAGACCCACTTCGTCAGATGCATGCATCTTCGTCTTTGCCCACGAAAGCTTATGCTCCTACACTTCAGTTAGTCTATAAGGTGCCACAGGACTCCTCGCCGCTTTCTCTGTCCATGCATACAGTTCAGTGTTTCTCAACCCAAAGCCCAATCAGCATACAGGTGCAGACCATGTGACACACTACCTGTATGATCCTGAGGCTATCTATAGAGTAGATGTGGCCCACATTAGAAAACCACCGTTGTAGTCTATTCTACAGCAGCCCTTTCTACACCAAATACACTTTCTTCTTAGTTAATAATAAGTCTCAGATGTATAAGCAGTACTGGGTTTATAATTATCTGTATGCCATTGTGCTTCTGTGCAGTGTGAACGAAAATTATTCTAATGCTGATTTTTGTGAAACTCTAATAGGGATGTTGAGCTGAGATATGTTCAGAAACTCAAGAAACAATTTATTCTCTTCAAACTAATCAAAGTTTCCTAGCCACTTCTCAGAATGGTAGTATTATAAGAAGGAAACTGATCTTTCTGCATGCTTGGGTGCTTTCAGGCCCACACCAATAACTTGCAAAAGCAAGTGAAATGCATGCCTAAGAAAATAAATCTAGCCTCAGAATCAAAGTAAGAAAAGGCTGTAAAAGTTCACAAGTTACATATTCCATCCGAGATAGCTTGCTAAATTGGTTACCTCAGCAGATAAATAAGATTGTCTCTGTTAATGAAACTTAATCTAGAAGCTAATTGACGGACTTTCGTAAATCATCTTAGTATACTAATTAACAAAGCATAAGTGAAATATAGGTGAATACTCTGGGTGGTGTAGCACTGTTGTGTTCAGTGGAGCTACACCAGCAGAATATGTAGCCCTTTATATTGTGCTTGTTGCCGTTACTGTACTGTAGCACTTAAATTTGATGAGGCAATAAAATTTATTGCAGTGACACGTGGAAGGGCAAGGAGTAGCCTTGGAAATATAATCCTTAAGCTACCAGGGCCAAACCATGGGAGTTGTTTACTTTATGAGCTCCCCATGGAGAAAAAAGGCAGAAGACCTCCACTGACTAGCTATCAAATGTATCTCCTGTTGAGAAAGTATTTGTTTTTTGGCAGTACAGACAACTGGGAAACTAGTTGAGAAGCAGGATGAATAAGAACTGGCAAATGGTAGGAAAGTTCATAAAAACATATTCAAATAGTCCTTTCTACCTGACAAAAATCAAACTGATCAAAAATGATCTCTGGGCTTTCAGGTAATAACTTTGATCAGTGATAATAATAAACTAATAAAAGCTAACAGCAAATATTTATTAGAGCTTTGTGAATAATGAAGTTCCACAATTGAGTTCTGAACAACAACAAAATCTGTTTTGAACCAAAACAGAATTGTTATGCATTTTTTCACCAAAACAAAACACAGACATTTTGTTCAGGTGCAGTGATATGTATTGAATGTTGTTTTGAAATCATATTTCATTTTGAAAGTGTCATTTCAAAACAAAATGTCAGTACAGTTCAGTTTGAAAGTATCAAGCCAAAACATTTTGACATTTACAACAACAAATCCCCAGTTTTTTCAGCTGAAATTAATTTCTAAGTTTAGTCTGAAGTTGTGAATTGTTTCAGTGTCTTACAAATGTATTTTTGGTGAATGTACTAATTGTCCTAAACCTTTTACCCAGCTCTGATATCTGCTTCAAAATCCTGTTGTCTGCTTTTTTTTTTTTTTTTTTGCATGCAGAACTGCTAGAGAGTTTGCTACTCTTTTTGTGAACATCAATGTCACCTCTGAGCCACATGAGGTCTCTGCTCTCTGGTTCCTGTGGTACGTGAAGCTGTGTGGAGGGACAACCAGGATATTTTCCGTAACCAATGGGGGACAGGTACAGAATGTCATCCATGTTTTCTTTCTTGAAACCATAATGAACAAATGTGGTGTTCCTTTTCCATTGCACAAACTTAACACATTCTCTGCAGTTAATGAAAAGATGAATAATCAGTCTACACCGTGTAAGAGTTCAATATGCATTTGAAGGTGTCAGATTATCATATGTGGGAATTCTGTACAGGGTGGCATTTAATTAATCCAGACTTCAAGTTAAATTGAGGCAATTTATTTAACTTCCTACCCCACATTTTCTTCAACACAGTCCTCTGTTTGCTGTATTTATAACATCTGCCATATTGGCTACCATGGTCACTTATGACTGAATGTATGAATTGAATGTAGTGTCCTTCCAAGCATATAAAGCAAGTGTAGCTCAAATGTAGAGATAGTAAAAAGGTACCTAGATAACTTGATTATGATGCTTTAGAAAATATGTTTTAGTCATAGAAGCACTGTGGTCTTGATGATCATAAAACACTATGTAAGGTCTCTGCTTTACAACTGATTTCTTTTGGGGGAGAGGAGCTGCCTACTCTGGATAACGCAGCAATGGATATTAAAATCTTTAAATGTATAGCACCAGGCTTTCGCTGTCTTTGTTGTGACCTCAGATGGCAAGGAATAGGAATGGATATTGAAAGGCTCTCACCTCTTAAAAGACAAGTTCCCATGAGAGCTGCCTTTCATCACCCACATTAGAATATTTACTTTCTGGGTTTTGTTGGGGCAGGAATCCAGCTGTGTGCAACACTCATAGTTGCATTTGACACTACTTTGGGTGAGGCTTTGGAAAGGAGCACACGCTTTATTTAAAAAATTAATTTCACCCTGTCAGGGCTGTTTCCTGCTCTGGCACTCCGAGTGCAGAATGTGACGGTCTGCAAAAGACCTTAAATACCTTGTCTCTGTAGGCTCTGTTTACAAAAACACTTCCCCAGAGTCACAGATTCACTGGCTCTGGAAGATAGGTTGCCACCATCAAGTAATTTTAAGGAACCCTGGAAAACCCAGGAGGAACACTTAAATTCCTTCCCCAGGAGTACCCCAAACTCTTCTGCCACAGGAGAGTGTGAAAAAAGAAACTCAAGAAAACACAGAAAACAAACTGTCTTTGATAACTGATCTCTCGGACTAGGCAGAGGCACACACAGACCTGTTTCCTTCTCGGACACAAGAATCAAATCATCACCTTAAAAAAGATTATTTTATTAACAAAGAAACAAAAAGATATCCTTAATAAACTTTACTTGATTGCTAGGTATTGCAGAGCAACTGAGAGAAACAAATTAAAACACAAAGAACATAGTATCTCTAGGTATACTTTAGGTAGTGAATGGGGGAGAGAGGAGCATATGGACTTTTCACAGATAAGCTTAACCAAACAACCAAAACAAAGAAAAATACCCTGATCGCAACTAAACATATATTCCCTTTGGTACTCACGCTCCATGCTGATCTATACTTCAAGGCCCAGTTTACTCCCATGCCCAATTTTCCCTGTAAGCATGGTTATTTCTGATTACTGCAGCTTGCTCACTCCAGCTCTTAACATAGTACTCACATAAAGAGAAAGAGCAGCAGGAGTTGAATTTCAGTGCTGTATCCCATTTGTTCTTCTGTCCCCCTGCCGACACCCTTAGTTACCTGAGTTTAACCCTTTAGTCACTGAGTGCTGGCTGACACTCCTGCTATCCATCACACACCCAAACAAAGATGTTAGAATATTTTGAATTGAACACCTCTACACACTCTCACCAGCCTTTTCCTCTCGTCATCCCAATCTCAGGCAGCAAGTAACATCAGTGGCTACTAGGCCTTGCAGTATAGTGCAGTAAACTGGAAAATCATCATCAGACTACAACTCCCTTCTGGAGGTTGTGGGTAAAATAGACAAGATTAGAGGGAAAGCCCTTGAGAAAAAGCAGTAGTGAAATGATTAACTTTTGTTGCACCTGGAACTTGTACAGTTTTATGGCTTCTGACTCATAAAAATAAAGGAGGGGGGAGGGACAAAGAAATTCTTCTGATGCCAGAAGCTAAGGAAAATATTGTAAACTACTTTTAGCATCAGTTACTATCTTTCTCCACAGCTCTGCCTGAGTCATTTACTCACAGATATGGATATTTTGTATGTGGGGTGAACTACTGATAGAAAGAGAAAAGGAGATAAGAGCTTCCCCCAGTCCTCTGCCTCAAAAGCACACAGAAATGTATGTGAGGATTGTCACTTCATTCAAGGCAGGGGAATCCTTGTGCTCTCCCAAAGAAGGCAGAGGGTCCATGCCTCACATTCTTGGGGCTAGATTTGATCAGCTCCTGCTTCTGGGGGTTATGCAGACACAAGAAACCAACTGGTATTTTTGTTGCATATGAGTATTTTGCCAGCATGTTAGTATGTATAATAAAAAGCCATTCGCTATTGATTAGGCAGCATGTTTGTGCAGATGAAGTACTTCCTTAAGGACTTTTTCTGACTTTCCAGTCTTGATGAGTCATTCAATCAACTGATTAAAACCAATAAAAATTATGGGACCAATCACCAATGTTCAGATTTTCAGTGACTTGAAAATCTGATTTTGTTTGTGGACTCTGTGCTCTTGAAAAAATCTAGTCCTGATCATCTTGTGTGTTAACAGAATTTATTATCGATTCTACTTTGATGATGATTTCTGAGTTGTTTTGTTTCGTTTTTTTGTTTTTTGTTTCCAGGAGCGGAAGTTTGTTGGGGGTTCTGGTCAGATTACGGAAAGGATAATGGAACTCCTCAAAGGCAGAGTTAAACTTGAGAGCCCTGTAGTCCGCATTGATCAGTCAGGTGATAATGCCATTGTGGAGACTCTAAACCATGAGCGCTATGAGGTAATTCAATAAAAATAAGAGTAATTAGCATTTAGTGTGTGTGCGGAGGGGAATGTCTGTTGCTGCTCTTAGCCAAATGTAATCAGCACCACACATTTGTGTGTCTCTGCTTCTCAAACTCCCCTGAAAGTCTTTGAAATCTGCTTTACTGATTTATTTATGACTGGGTGTCTTATGAGCGTATTGTTAATTGGTTCCTGACATTACTCTACCTTCTCTCTGCTTTGTTTTATTGTGTCATTTTATATTATAGTACTTAGAAATTTCACCTTAAATAAAGGAAAATATTATTCCTGTTCCTATCTAAAATTGCAGTTGTGTGTGTATTATATAGCAATGCCTTATGTTTCAGGGCAGATATGTGATTAGTGCCATCCCCCCAGGCCTGACTACAAAGATCCATTTCAACCCAGAACTACCATCAGAGAGAAACCAGTTAATTCACCGTCTTCCTATGGGTTCTGTCATTAAATGCATGATGTACTATAAAGAAGCCTTCTGGAAGAAGATGGGTATGTGGGTATTAACTACCGGGAAAAATGAAGAGCTTAGGAGTTTGTCACACTACCTTTAAAGCCAGGGGTTTATTAACTTTAAGTGTAGAAGAATGAGTTAAAAAAATTTTTTTCCCCAAAACCGTATGTGAAGGTGCTTCATTTCTAACATCTGAACAGCCACCCATTGCATTAAACTGGGGGATATTTTTTATATTGTGAGCATTTATATCTCTTCAGCCAGCTACTAAAGCCAGGTCTTCACTAGACCTAGAAAGTCGAGTAAAAGTTTGTAACCCCAGCTATGTAGAATATGTAGCTGGAGTTGGCTTACCTTAAGATGGCACCAAGCTCAGCTTCACAGAGAGAGGCTGATAGGAGCAAACACTGCTATCAGCTTCCTTTACTCCTTGCAACTGCAAAGAGTACCAGCACCTACTTGAGCCAGCCTCAGTGTTTGATTTAGCGGATCTTAACTAGACCCTCATATTCGAGCACCAGAGGATCAATCTTAGGCATGGTAAGTATAGACATGGCCTAAGTGACTGGGGTTAGGAAGAAGTTTCCTCTAAGGGTAGGTCATTCCACTGTTGTCGACTATAGGGTTTCTTGCATCCGTCTTGGAAGCATCTCATCACTGTCAGAGATACTAGACAGGATGGACCAGGGTGCCAATCCACTATGTTGTTATGTCTTTCTTACCTCTACTGTTCCTACCCTCCTTCTGTATAATCCCTATTGAGAATTCCAAGAGTACAAGATTGAGACTCCACTGAGTAGACCTGTCTGTTGCTGTTTTGTGCAAGTTGCTTAATGAAAATATTTCTACTAGAGTCTGAATTACTTTTGCAGTTTCTGTTATTTGATAACAATAAGTCTACATAACTTTATGTGAGTCACAAATAAATTCTTGCAAAGCAACAAAGTCAACATTTTAAAAACAAATTAGGATGTGTGTATACAAGCAGTTTTGGAAATTACTGATGGGTAGAGAATGCTAGAAGAAGGTTCCAGATTTCTAGGTGTTTTCAGTGAATGAAAAACAACTTTGAATTTACTTTTTATTGAACTTTTCTTCATTTATATCAGTACATAACACTTAGCAGTTATTATGTCTGACCACCATCTTGTTTTCTCTTCTCCTGTCAGATTACTGTGGCTGCATGTTAATTGAAGATGAAGAAGCTCCAATATCAATAACCTTAGATGATTCCAAACCTGATGAAACTGTGCCTGCCATTATAGGGTAAGGAGCCCATAGTCCTAGATTTATAGAGGCTTGAGTGGGAGGAGGGGACGCATGCAAGTCACTATAGCTGATATGCAGCCTTCGGGCATCCTCTTGTGTGGGATAAAGTAACTATGTAACCCCATCAAGCCTCTGCACTCCTTGGAGCAAGACTATACAAACTCTCTAAGTAGACCAGTGCACAGGAAGCTGGTGGGAAGGGAGGTACATTGTCCAATGTAATGTGCCATTTCCCATGGCTGAAGTTAAGCACATATTTAAGGGTTTTGCTAAATTGTGCTCAGAGAGATTAAACCTCTCTCACTCAAATTTACCAAGCATTTTGCTCTGGCTACAGTGGGCCTCCTCTTTTGGCCATGTCAAATACTGAAAACCCAGTTGACAGAAGCCATTGTTTGCCTTGAATCTGGACTGCACTGAAGAGAGATGAAGAACTGTTCCCTACAGCATCTTGTAATTCAGTCAAAGCACAGCTGTTCAGTGACAGATTAGAATTCTGGAGAAGCTGCCAAGTATTTAGCATTTCATTTTGAAAGGAGAGCTGGAAAATGTATAACAGCATTTAATTCACTCTTTTCAAAAAGCAATTAAGTGAATATAAATTTTAAAAACTTTAGAAAATGTTTCCATTTTAAATCCAAGCTAACTTTCCAAACAAGGTGAAAAAACACTTGTGTGTATCTACCAAATAATTTCATGAAAAGTATGCAGAGATAGCTCCTATAGAATTGTGTAACATTATGGGCATGTTTTAAAATGACCACATTCTGAACGCTATGAAACCCCCTAACATTCCTCTAAAGTTACTGTCAACAACTGGAATGTAAATATTTTTTCTTGCTGTTAAAATCAATGTTGGAATCATCTCTTTTCTAATATGCACAACTTTGTAAAGGATTCTAGGAGCCAAATTCATCTGAGATGTATCTCCATGGAGGTCAATGGAATTTCTCCAGGAATCAATTTGACTCTAATGGAAAACATCTTAGAGCAATTACTGATAGGAATATGACTGTAGCTTCCTATGTTGATTGTGATAAAAATCTATGTTGTGTAGCAGCACTCCCCTGCAGTTGCCCTATAGCTGACCTCATCATGAATCTTTTAATAACATAAATTGTATTTGACTTCATGGTAGGGGCAACTACCTAGGAATTTAGAAGGACAAGAAAACTAAAGCACAGTTCAAGGATACTAAGGTCTTGGTCTCAGCCAATTTGGATTTAGGTCTCTATGTGGAAAGAGAAGCTCCATGTGTTGTGTTGGTTGATTATTTTCCCCCTCTCGCTATATGAAAATCAGGATGTGCCTAATGGTAGCCTAATTCTGCTTCCACTGAAGTTAATGGGCACTTTAACCACTCACTTCAGTGGGAGGAGAATTAGGCCAATGCTGAGCAATTTTGAATATTCCACTGCAAAAGTGTCTATGATTTTTCTAGAACTGTGAGTTTTCTTTGATACCATAGGGCACTATTGACCTCCGCGCAGATCGCAATGGGGTAGATGGAGTTTGTTGCAAAGGGCGCAAACCTTTCTGAGATCTACCATAGACTCTCCATTGTCAATATTCTGTGCCTGTCACCTTAAGTTTGAATTGCTATACTATGCTGTATTCTTTGGGATACACCTACAACCCATTAGGAAGTCTCAGCTAGCACAGCATGCAGTAATCAGTTTTGCTAGTTTCCTGCATGAAGCACTTTACTTCTGTGCTCTGTGATCTGTGTACAAGCTGATCATTTCCTGATATAATGCTAGAAGCTATTGAGTAATCAGTCTGTGTATTGACACTGCACAATACTATGTCCTCTTTTGTCTTTAGTTTTATCCTTACAAGAAAGGCCTATAGACTGGCAAGTGTCAGCAAAGAAGATAGGTAAGAACTTTACACATTTCAAATAGTACTTTTATAAGAGAGTTGTTCTTCAGGCTGCATCAGCAAGTAATTTTACATACACAGAGGGCAACTACAGATAATAGTATTCTCCAAGGACCAAACTCTGCTTGTGTAAGCAGACACAGCTTCCAAGGAATCCAGTTTAAAGTGCCCTCATGCTATCTGCTTTTTTAGGTTATCACTAATACATTGTGTTTCATAAATAATCTTAGGGCATTGTTTTTTGTCTTCAATAACTGCTGGTTATTGCAAAGATTCCAAAAGACTGCCTTCCTTCTTGACCATTTTCACAAAGCTGGTCCATTAGTGGAATGAAGGGACTTCTGAGGTACATAACTTTTGCGGTCCTTTCTCTACAAGCTAGGCAAAAATATTCTAACATTTTTTTTATTATTTACATACTCGTATAAACATCCTTGTCTCTAACAGTGCTATTTCTACAACCATAAATGAACTACTTTGTTATTCATAATAAATAAAATATCATTCATTTTCCGCTCCATACATCTGAAGAAGTGGGTTTTTGCCCATGAAAGTTTAGGCCCAAACGAATCTGTTAGTTTTAAGGTGCCACCAAATGGCTCATGTATTTAAATACCATTGAGCATTTTACAGGTCAAAATCTGCTCTCAGCTACCCTGTTGTAAATCTGGAATGATTCCATTGGAGCTATTCCAGACTCACATCAGTGAACCTAAGTATAATTTAACTCGGTATCTTCAGATAACTGTACGAAAGTTAATTTATTTACACTTAGTCCAAATAAATCTTCCAAGTGTGATGTCACAATTTAATACTTAGACATCTCTGTGTTTAAAAATCTGGCTTAGAGTATGAACTTGGAATCTGTTGCACATACAAAAATAACTTTAACATGTATTGACAGAGATTTTGACTTTAATTTTAAGACCAGCAGCAAAGAATGAGGTGATTTTTTTTTACTTTTTTATTTCTTCTGATCCCTGTGTATGTTTATATTTAGGAAGAAAAAAATCTGTGAGCTGTATGCCAAAGTGATGGGCACAGAGGAAGCTTTATATGTAAGAAACACTGCCTATTTATTCATTTACACTGTGGTCACCCTCCTTGTTTGTTCTGAATGGTGAAACAAGGACATTTAAATTTTAGTTCTCAAAAGCAATGCAGGCGATACCATATGATATCACTTTCCTAGTTGTGGTGAGCCCCAATCACTAGAAGAAGACAAGAACTCCGTCTCAAAACCAGAAAAGATTATAACAATTGTCAAAGTTGTCTATATTATATAGGAGATTGAGGCTCTGTCGAAGTGTAAATGTGCTCATTTGTGCTGTTGGATAGTATTAACAGAATGCGCTAACAGGCTTGTATCAGAATTTTTAAAATAACAATTAATAATTCAAATTTTTTGTTTCCTAGAAGCCAAATATTTACTTATTTTATTTCCAATATTCTAGACAACAGCTTGTTCTTTCTCTCATGTTCTGTTAACTGTTACAGCCAGTGCATTATGAAGAAAAGAACTGGAGTGCAGAACAGTATTCAGGGGGTTGCTACACAGCCTACTTCCCACCAGGCATCATGTCTCAATATGGAAGGTAAACTAAATAACTTTTTGGGTTTTATTTTTTGAAGCTTCTGTGTAATGGTTACAGTATTCTTTCCATTCAAAACATAAGGCGCATACAGCATATGGGTGAAATCCTGGTTCCTCTAGTGTACACTGCTCTCCTCCCTTTAATCAGTTAACTGATTAAACAATATGTTAACCAAATAAATGGGATTTTACATCCCTAGCCTAAGTGCTATGAAGTGATGGGTAAGGCATATGGCTTTGTCCATGAGCTGAACTAGTCTCTGGCAGCTGTTTCAGGTCTGACATGATATTTCCTCTGTGGCCCCTAGAGACTCCCCCTCTATGAAGAGGGAATGCAGTTCCTTTTTCTGTGTTGCCCAAGAAGCCTGTGGAGTAGCCTGGTGTCCTAAAGAGGAGATGCAGCTTTCCATTCTGCATACAGAGGCACCTCTCTCTCTCTTCCCCTCTAGCATGCAGCCATACAAATGGGAAAGTTCTGCTGAATCTCAAAATATAAGAGCAACCGATCACTGCAAAGACATCATTCATATCTGGTTGCAATGGAAGAGTAAAAACAAAGCAGTCAGACAGGGGAAATAAATCCATTTAACCAGAATACATTTCTGGACCCTCTTAGGATCGTTCCCTGTTTGGGCAATAAAAGGAGACACCTTCAAGTGTATATCTTGAATTTTCTATGTCACAGATAATGTAACATATTGTAAATAGCAGCAGGTAAGATGCTTATCTATGGGAAAACCTAATGTATTTCTTTCCTTCTCTATAACAGCTCATTAGGAGTTCTTGAGGAGCTTAACAAGCTCTTGTGTCAAGGGCACTAATTGCTTTTAAAATGATTGTCAGCCTTCTCTTAGTGGCTTTTGACATTGACAATTTGTTTTAAAGGGTCATTCGCCAACCTTTCCACAAGATCTTCTTTGCTGGCACGGAGACAGCTACCCAGTGGAGTGGGTACATGGAAGGGGCTGTGCAGGCAGGAGAGAGAGCAGCAAGAGAGGTACGGGAAGCCAATTTTCCTTGATCAGGGCTATTGGAGACCAAAAGCGGCCAGATGTTTCATGGAAGTTTTGGTCTTAGTGTCTGTCTTGGGATATGCCTGCATTTGGAGCATGGGCTGTGATTCCCAGCTGGAGAAGACATATCCATGCTCAGTGTCCTGGAGCTAATGCACTAAAAAAAATGTAGCTATCCTAACATGAGTGGCAGGGCCTCCCCAGATACATGCCTGTCAGACACCCTAGATATGTATTCGGGGCTAGCAGCCCTTTCCACCATTCATGTAGCTGTGGCTACATTCTGATTTTAGCCTACTCTCTCACAGAGAGCTAGCACAAGTGGGCGTCTTTGAGTTGTGAATCGTATGCCTAGCTCAAAGTGCAGACATACCTTTGGTGCATTTGCTACTGTAACTACTACCAGGAGAGGACTACTAGAATTAACCGTGGCAAGATTCCAAAACCCCGCAAACCAAAGTGTAACTATATTCTGTATATACTGTATTAAGTAATTTAAAGCATTACAATTTAATGTCTCAGACCAATCAGAATGTTACCAAATTCATCACTGAACTATTAAATCAGGGGGGACATGATTGCTCTCTTTAAATATATTAGAGGGATAAATACCAGGGAGGGAGAGGAATTATTTAAGCTTAATAACAATGTGGACACAAGAACAAATGGATATAAGCTGGCTAGTAGGAAGTTTAGACTTGAGATTAAAAGAAGGTTTCTAACCATTAGAGGAGTGAGGTTCTGGAATGGCCTTCCAAGGGAAGTAGTGGGGGGAGGGTGGAAAGTTTGTTTGTGCTGTGTCCTGTAACTCCCAGCAAGGCTGCTGGCGCCTGCAACACTGAGAATCAGGATTTTATCCCAGAACCCCCACTGGGCTGGGAGCAGACTGCACAGAGGTAGATGGGGGAAAGAGGGAATGGGCGGGTGCTGGCATCTGTGCAGTAAGGTGGAAGAAGGGGGGAGTTTGTCTAGGGTGTCCTGACTCACTTGCTGCAATCCAGGTGGGAGTCCTCTCTGGCTGGCTGGGTTGGGGGAGAAGCAGACTGCACGGTGTGTGTGTTTACATATATGTTAATGGCTTAAGGTAAGAAATTACAGGATTATTTTGGAGTGTTGCAGATATCTAAGGATATGTCTACACAGCAACATTCATACGAAATAACTAGCATTATTCTGAAATAACTTAGTCCGTGTCTACACAGAAGGCAGTTATTTTGAGATGTCAAAATACTGTCAAGCTGGAGGACTTCTTACTATTAAACTAGATGGGTTTATGAAGGGGATGGTTTGATGAGATAACATGATCTTGGTAACTAATTGACCATTCATTATCAGTGGTAAATAGGTCAATGGAGGGATGATAGGAGTTACTATAGAGAACTTTCTGGGTGTCTGGCTGGTGAGTCTTGCCCACATGCTCAGGGTTTAGCTGATCGTCATATTTGGGGTCGGGAAGGAATTTTCCTCCAGGGTAGATTGGCAGAGGCCCTGAAGGTTTTTCGCCTTCCTCTGTAGCATGGGGTACAGATCACAGCTGAAGGATTCTCTGAATCTTGGGGTCTTCAAACTATTTGAAGGCTTCAATATCTGAGATATAGGTGAGAGGATTATTCTAGCAGTGGGTGGGTGAGATTCTGTGGCCTGCATTGTGCTGGGGGGTCAGAATAGATGATCGTAATGGTCCCTTCTGACCTTAAAGTCTATGAGTCTATAAATCCAAGCCTGTGTAATAGATCTTGGGCCTTAAAATCTCAAGCCCAATCCCGCCTTCACATATGCCCATGCAACTTCCATCAGAGTTGCACCAGCTATTATTTCCAGTTATAGATCCTTGAAATCTGACCCTTTTGGTACAACTGATCATTACGTTTTGCTTCTCGCTAGCAGAGAACACTTACCTATGTTCTGTTAATCCATCATAGGCAATGAACAGTCATGGGGGGATAGGAAGGCAAGCAAGCAAAAAGCACACACTGGGCTTGTTTCTCAGTCAGGGTATTTCTATATGGCAGCTGGGAGTGAGTCTTCTTGCCCAGATAGACAGACTTGTACCAACTCTGCTTGAGTAGCACACTAAGGTTATGTCTACACTACAGTGCTATTTCGAATTAACTTAATTCGAAATTGTTAATTAGAATTAAGCTAATTCAAAATAACGCATCAATGCACAAAAACTATTTTGAAATAACGTTTTGCTATTTCGAAATAGCACGTCCACACTGAGTGGCCCTGAACTGAAGTTAAGGCTGGCCATAACCAGTGATGGCGGGACATCAGGTTAGGACTTAGTGTGTGGGGCTGCTGCCTGAGGCTAACTGAGCTTCGTGTTTAAAGGGACCCTACCCCCACCCCGGACAGACAGTTCTCAGGGTTCCCCGCTTGCTTGTCTACCTTGATGAGGGACAACAAAGCATTCCTGTCTTGGAGTGCCCTGAGTTCCCGCACTCAGGACACCACAGCACTTGGCCACATGGAGCCAGAGCGGACCCGACCCCCACCCCGGACAGACAGTTCTCAGGGGTTCCCCACTTGCAAAGCAGTCCTGGCTTGGAGTGCCCTGAGTGCCCACCCTCGGCACATCACAGCACTCAGCCACCAGCCCGGCTGCACTTGCTGCAGGCTGCCATCCGGAGGTATATCGGGGGGGCTGTCAGGATCCAGGAGGCCCTGAGGGAGAGTGTCCGCCCCGAGGAGCCCTCCGAGCCTCCCCGGTCCTCCCCACTGGGGGCTCGTGCCCCATTCCTCCTTCATGTCCTTCCACTTATCCTTCCCTAGCCCCCCTTCTTGATGTCAAATAAAAGACTCGTATGTTCAAAAATAGAAACTGGGTTTATTGAACAAAACTGGGGGGGGGGATGAACCTCTGGGGAGACTGGGAAAAGGAGGTTGGAGAGGGGAGGGGGAAACCTGGGAGGAGGGAGCTGGAAGGGGGAAGCTCAGGGTTGGGGGTCTTGCCGGGCCAACTTGACTTTCATGCTAACCTGCTCCTGGGTTCGCATGTGGCCTTTGATGGCCAGGCTGGCAGCTATCCTGCCATAGATGGACGTGTTCCTCCGTCTAGTACAGAGATCATGGATTTTGGGAGCATCCACCCCAAACCTGAATAAGGTCCATGATCTCCACCCTGACCAGGAAGGCGCCCGCCTTTTCCAGCTTCTGTCATGCTCCTGGGAGCTGGCAGACTGCTCCTGGGGAGCGGTGGAGGGCTGGTTGCCAGTGGCTCATGTTTTGGGGTCACTGGGTCAAGGGTCCAGGGGCCACTGCTGGCTCTGGGCTGGCAGGCTTGGAGCTGGCACAGGCACTGTAGCCAGGGTCTACCCCTTTAATGGCTCCGGGGCTGGGGGAGAGGAGAGTAAATTTTCCTGGTTGTGCCCAGAGTGACCACCAGGGCTCCCTGGGAAGGCTGGAGGCCCCCTATTTCGAATTAAGTGTCTACACAGCACTTAATTCGAAATAGCTATTTCAAATTCGGTGTTACTCCTCGTAGAATGAGGTTTACCAAATTCGAAATAAAATAAGGGCTCCACCATTTTGAATTTATTTCGAAATAGCAGTTTACCTGTGTAGATGCTATTAAAGTTAATTTGAAATAACTGCTGTTATTTTGAATTAACTTTGTAGTGTAGACATACCCTAACAGTGGCAGTGTGGGCATTGCAACGTGGACTAGCCACTCAGTCTGCCGGCCCCCTGGCTCTGAGCTCCGTTAGTGAGCCTAGGCTGTCATCCCTGTTGCAGTGTCCTCATTGCTATTTTTAATGGGCTAGCTAGAGCAGGGCTAGTGTGAGTTCATCTACCCAGTCTGGAAGGCTGGCTCGCAGCAGAAGTGTGGGCATACCTGAGATAAAAGGACCTGAAGGTGGGCAGAGATTATATTTTGCACCCATTGTTCCTTTCTTCTAGCAGAGCAGCGTAATGGAGGCTGAATGTGACTGAGATTTGGGTCCAGGGCTTCCACTTAATATGATAGTATATTATTTTAATAATTCTACATTTTTCAGGTCTCCCCTGCTTCTCCTTCCCTCTACACACCTTTACAGTGGTGGCTACAGATATATTTACCTATTTGTGCTGCAGACCTCTGCCCTTGTTACAGTGCTTTGGTTTTTTATTGTTTTAGAAGCACTCTGATTTTTATACGCCCCAAAAAGCCGAGGGATAACTCCACAATTGAGAACCTTCAGAGACAATCCAAGCAGCATCACTGTCAATAGGTTTTCAGTGTCATGAGTGACACAAGATTAAACTTTAATATTTCTCAAGTTGGATAATAGACTGTCAGGTGATCACCTGTGCCTGGGGGGCTGAAACCTATGGCAACTGCCTCAAGTGGGAAAGCTGCACAAATTGCTCTGATGTCTAGCTTATGGTGTGGGGGGGGGATCATTTTCTTAATGTTACTTGATGTTGCCTGCCAGTGCTTATTCCAAACTAATAGAAAGAATGTTCATGTGGTGTCGTCATTTTTCTTCCAGATATTGTACCGTATGAAAAAGATCTCAGAGGGTGAAATCTGGATGCCTGAGCCAGAGTCGAAGGCAAGCTTTGTCTCCTATGTATTTGTAAAGCAATAGCTAGACACAGTGTTTCGGTTGTCTTAGCTAAGTTCTTATAGCAGTGGGGCCATAGCACCCTTGTGAGGGAGAGAGGAAGATCTTGTTCTCTGTTTTGCAGATGGGTAATTAAGGTCCATAGACAATTATTTCAATGTCCAGGTTACCACCGGGAGACACTCCTTTTCCGGAAAAACTGAAAACGGAATAGTATTCTGTTTTAAGCAGTTCCGGAAATTCATGCCAGTGTAGACACAGCCTATGTGAATAACGGTATCTGGCCTGGATTGCACAGGAGGTCAGCCTAGGTGATCATTATGGTCCTGTCTGTTCTTAAAATCTGTTAGTTGACTAGAAAATGGTAAGGTGGCAAGTCTCTCAGAGGCTGGATGGAACGGTGCTGACTTGACGTGATGCTCTCCATTCATGTCTGTAAAAGAATGAACTTGTGCGTTATATATGGGTTCATTGTCACTTATCAAGCCGTCTGAGAGACCATAATGGCTGAGTATTGCCCTTTGCCGCTGGATAGCACATTCAGCAGTGGGCCTCACGCAGCTCCCCGGCTGCTTCTAGTGACTAATGTGGGCTTGCCACATTACTAACCATCTCTCCTACCTGCCTGTTGGCTTGAAAGTCTTGCTACCATGTGCACTTTTGTGGGTGTATTCAGTATTTGCAATCCCCTCGCAACAATGGCAAAAGCAATGGTGGTTTCCACATCTCTATAGTTGCAAGCAGCGACTTGGAGACCAGGGACTGTGTAAAACACTCATTCTCAGGGTATTGTGTAACACAGCTGTTAGCAAACTCCTCCTAAGAATGCCACAAACTGTGAAACCGCTTTTCCCTTCCATTCTTGGTTCTCTTCTTTGAATGCAGATTCTCTTGCCAATTACCAGCAATCTCAGAGTACAGCGTGACTAAGTTCTTGCCCAGTATCTGTACAGGCAGTCCCCGGGTTACGTACAAGATAGGGACTGTAGGTTTGTTCTTAAGTTGAATCTGTATGTAAGTCGGAACTGGTGTCCAGACTGATCAGTTTCAGCAGCGGCTGAATCTGGACGCCAGTTCCGACTTACATACAGATTCAACTTAAGAACAAACCTACAGTCCCTATCTTGTACGTAACCCGGGGACTGCCTGTATAGCAGAATCAGGTTCATTTTCTGGATGAGTCCCAGGCCAGTTCCCTAGCCACAAGATCACCCTTATTGCCTAACCTGTTGTTTGGCTTACATCAGTCGTTCTCAGCCTTTTCCATATTGTGACCAATTTAAAACAGAAGGAGTTTGGGGGATCCCCCTTCATTTAGCTAGAAAGAGAGAGAAGCGTGTGACTTACGGAATATATTGGTGGTCTCTGTATTCCCCCCCTCTCCTGGCACTAATACTGAACATTTCCTCCTGCAGGATGTCGTAGCCCTGCCAATCACTACTACCTTTTGGGAAAGAAACTTGCCCTCTGTACCAGGACTGCTGAAGCTCGTTGGATTTTCCACTCTCTTAACTTCAGTGGCTGCAGTGGGGTTGTTTACCTACAGAAAGGGGCTCCCTGCTCAAAACTAGAGTGTCCATGGGAAGCTGCACACTTGCTGTTTTCCCCTTCCTAATCCAAGGGTTCTCTTTGGAGAGGAGTCACCCGAAAGGCTGGAAAAAGCAAGGGGCCTTCTTTAGACGTTCGTTTGAAGACCCGCATTAACTACTAAAACCATTCAAATCAGTGTCGGTTAAACAACAAACAGATCAATTATGACGAAAAGTGACATTTCTAGTTTCCTTCTACTTAATTTGTCTTGATTGACAGCATAAAATCAATTACATATATTTCCGACTATCTGGAGGGGACAAACCAGAGCAGAAGCTTTGCAAAGGGCAAGATGCCTTTGGATAATACATTTTCTTCCATTTGCTGTTGTATTGTTTTAAATCAATTCTTTGTGCCGAGGCTCAGTAAGTTAGGCAGCTCTTCTGTAAAATCCCTGCGGCACAGAAGACTGACAAGCCAATCTGCCTTAGAACAGCAGAAGTAAATTAAAAACATGTTTGATGAATTATTAGAGATACAGAACTTCACCATGAGCTGAATGAATAAAGATAATTAGCACTACAAGCCCCATAGCTCAGTTCAGCCAAAAAAAAGGGGATGCGGATGTACTTTTTGACTGTGATATTGAACAAATGGCTATACTTGTTTAACAGTGGAGATCTGTAGCTAAGTTGTGCCTCTTGAAATAAGGGATAAGGGATCTTTCGGAAAAGGCTTTATTTTTCGAAAGATCAGCGTCTAGACTGGCGCTTTTCTCCGACAAAGCTCCTTGCAGAAAAAAAGCGGCAGCCATTTTTATGCTAAGGAAGCACGGGAGATTTAAATCCTCGCTTCATTAGCAATTGCGATACGTCTACTTTACATCCCTTTTTCGGAAAAGGGATGTAGTCTAGACGTAGCCAATGAGTTAATAGTGCTTCAGGCCTGATCCTGAAATCATTGAAATCAGTGGGCGCAGATGCAGGCCCTGAATGAACATTAATCCACGCCTCTTGGCAAAACTGAATCAGTGCTGTCTTCTTATACCTAATAAAACCACACAGCTGCTTTCTGCAATTCTCTCATGTTGAATGATGTGCTTGGAGAAGCCAAAGTGTGTCCACTGATTAAATTAATTAAGTGTCTACAACTTTTCTGCAAGTGCTGGGTTATAGTTGGTGTGGTGTGTTCTCCAAATGTATTAACCAAATAATCACTGTTATTAACTGAAATGGAATATATACATTTCAAAATGTGCCACTGTTATTAACTGCTTTTGAGAATGTGAATATTGTATGTACGTCATGGAATTCTATTGTAATTCAACAGTAGTGAAATGTGCCTTTAAATATTCCTCAAATCTTGATAAAAGACTCATTTTGTAAACCTTTCTTCAGATTTTTTCGCTCACATCTTTTTTGAGTTTTCCAACAGTGTCCTACTTATTTTAGAATAGTGATAGAAATGTAGCCGTGCCCATGTGACCTCTCTCCCAATCCACTGTGCCTTAGAGAACACACGAATGTAGTTCATCCTGGAGTAAACTTCGTGTGAACCAAGACAGGAAGCTATTGCCAAAGCTAAAGACTTTTCATGGAGGCAGCTTTCCAACTGCCCTCTTCCAATAAAAGCTGGGCACTATTAGTGCCAGCCCTCAGATGATTGCAGCTGCCACAATAGAAGGCACCAAACCACTGGCTTTGTCACTCAGATTGGCTGCATGAGGATCCCCCAGGCGGCACCATTTTCTCAGATGCCAGTCAATTACTCATTCTCTTTCTTGAATTTACTGTTGGGGAAGACACAATATCAGCAGGGAAGCTCTTTGGAATGTTGGGTTTTCAATACACTCATTGGCAGGGCTAAACTCTTATTCAGAGGGAGTCTGTGGCAGTCTCCCTGCAGAAATTATCTTAAATTGGAGCAGTAGGGAATTCAGTTCCGCTTTGTTCAACAAAGGAAAAAGAGCAGCTACCCATGTTATTTGCCTGACAAATGGCCACCCCTTTAAATCTTCTTTACATCACTCCAGCAGTGGCCAGCTGAGGATTCCCATGTTCTGGGGACTCTGCCAGGCTCCAGAGGTGACACTGAAGCAGAGAAGAAATCCTGTGCCACCACACCTCACAGGGGCACATGTAAGAGGCACAGCTTTGGGGAAGGAATATGGCTTGAATAGTGCTGCATTCTAGCAAATTCCTGGCTACAGGAATGGCCCTCTGGGCCAGATATAACTCAAAGCACTCTGACTTGCTCTAAGTTGCTCTAGGAGTTGAATATTTCACTGGCTTAATACAGGACGTGGTCTACCTAGACTTTAATAAGGCGTTTGATACAGTCTTGCATGACCTCCTTATCAATAAACTAGGCAAATACAATTTAGATGAGGCTACTATAAGGTGGATGCATAACTGTCAGGATAACTATTCTGAGAGAGTAGTTATTAATGGTTCGCAATTATGCTAGAAGGGCATAATAGGTGGGGTTCCGCAGGGATCAGTTTTGGGACTGGGTCTGTTCAATAGTGTCATCAATGTTTTAGATATTGATGAAGAGAGTACGCTTATTAAATTTGCAGATGATATCAACCTGGGAGGGGTTGCAAGTGCTTTAGAGAATAGGGTCATAATTCAAAATGATCTGGACAAACACAAGAAATAGTCTGAGGTAAATAGGATGAAGTTCAATAAGGACAAATGCAAAGTACTCTACTTAGGAAGGAACAATCAGTTTCACACCTACAGAACAGGAAGTGGCTGTCTAGAAAGGAGTACTGCAGAAATGGGCTTAAGGGTCATAGTGGACCACAAGCTAAATATGAGTCAACAGTGTGATTGTCTCAAAAAAAAGCAAACATGATTAACAGGAGTGTTGTAAGCAAGATACAAGAGTAATTCTTCCCTTCTACTATGCTCTGATTAAGCTTCGGTTTGAGTATTCTGTCCAGTTTGAGGCACCACATTTCAGGAAAGATGTGGAGAAATTGGAGAAGGTGCAGAGAAGCGCAATAAAAATGATTAAAGGTCTAGCGAACATGACCTACAAGGGAAGACTGAAAGAATTGGGTTTGGTTTAGTTTGGAAAAGAGAAGACTGAAAGGGGACACGATAGGGCTGCGTCTAGACTGGCATGATTTTGCACAAATACTTTTGACAGAAAGGTTTTTCCGTTAAAAGTATTTGTGCAAGAGAGCGTCTATACTGGCATGTGCCTTTGCGCAAAAGATTTGCTCTCTTGTGCAAGAAAGCTTCAATGGCCATTTTAGCCATCAGGCTTTCCTGCACAAGAAATTAACTTGGCTGTCTACACTGGCCCTCTTTCGCAATAATACTTGCGCAAGAAAGCTTATTCCCTGAGCGGGTGCGTCAGAGTATTTGCGCCAGAACCACTGATTTTGTAAAGTACAAGGTCAGTGTTTTTGTGCAAATTCTGGTGGCCAGTGTAGCCAGGTGGCAAGATCTTGCCAGTCTAGATGCACCCTAGCTGTTTTCAAGTACCTAAAAGGGAGTTACAAGGAGGCGAGAGGAAAATTATTCTCCTTAACATCTGATGTTAGAACAAGAAGCAATGGGCTTAAATTACATCGGGAGATTTAGGTTGGGCATTAGGAAAAACTTCCTGACTGTCAGGATCAGTGTTCCCTCTAAGCTGCGGGGCAGCACAGCTTCACAGGTGATTAATCAGCCCTGCCCAATCAGAGGCTCAGGGCTCCATGTGCATGGAGCTGACTGGTTGGGTGGGGCTGATTAATCACTTGTGAAGCTTGCTGCCACACAGCTGAGAAGGACCACTGGTCAGGATGGCTAAACACTGGAGTAAATTGCCTAGGGAGGTTGTGAAATCTCCATCACTGGAGATATTTAAGAGCAGGTTAAACAGTCACCTGTCAGGGAAAATCTAGATGGTCCTGACATGAGGTCAGGGGACTGTCGTCTTGAGGTTCCTTCCAGTTCTAGTATTCTATGATCTATGCCAACTCAAAGGCATCCCCCTCCTTGTGCATCCAGGACGTCTGTTTGTATTGATCTGAAATTGATTTCTAAGTTTTGCTTTTAAGACAGCTTTTATACATGTATTGGAAGTGATGGAAAATAACCCAAAGCTACCCATAGCTAAAGTGGAATTAAAGCAAAGAGCTATTATGCGTGGCGGACATGTTCGCTTCTCAAGTTTTTTCCTGCTAAACAGAGGCAATGCTTGCAATATATTTCAGTGCTACAATGATGGAATAATTCAGCTAATTCTGTCCTGCATAATTTAATATTGTGTGTTCCAAAGCTGCACACGGTGAAAAGTGCTCCCCACTACCATGGAGACTGTAAATGGTATTTGAACTAAAAGTGATTAAAATTGGCATTTTGCAATCGCCTGCTGCGTGTAGGCATCATGCTGCTGCTGAAAAAAGTCAGTGGTTGTCAGATTATAAAAACAGAAGAAACTCTTAAAGTACCTCTTTGACAATTGGAACAACTTTAATTTTAACACCAAGGCTATGTCTACACTCGCGGCTTCTTGCGCGAGTAATACGTAAATGAGGCTAAGCGTGGAATATCGCTGAGCCTCATTTGCATAGCTAATGAGCCACCATTTTTTTTCAGAAGAGGCTCTTGCACAAGGAGGAGCATCTACACTGCCCCTTCTTGCTCAAGAAAAACCCTCTTGTGCAATGCCGTTCTTCCTGTCAAGTAATAGGTGTAACGGCATTGCGCAAGAGGGTTTTTCTTGCGCAAGAAGGGGCAGTGTAGACGCTCCTTCTGGCACAAGAGCCTCTTCTGAAAAAAAATGGTGGCTCATTAGGTATGCAAATGAGGCTCAGCAATATACCATGCTTAGTCTCATTTGCATATTACACATGCAAGAAGCCGCGAGTGTAGACATAGCCCAACTGTTTAAACAGTAAACACCCAAGTTCTTTCTGAGTTGATCATTTCTGCTTGGGCTAACACTAGGAATGTTTCCATGTGGAAATAAGGATAAATGCAAGGATGGATGTTGAAACAAAAGTGGAAGCACTTCCTGCCACTGCAAGCCTTTGATCAGAAGTTGACCATGCGTATTCAGTTATGTGCTCTTGTTGCTATTTTGATACATGAATTTAGTGCTCATAAAAGACATGTCCTTGCTCCTCTGGGCTGTCAGTTTACCAAGCAAGAAAAGCAAGGACAGGCACTAATAATGCAGGCTCCCCCGTACTGCTCCCCTACCCCCTCACCACCACCCATATGCAACTATCTCATCACCAGGAGCTCTTACTGAGCATCCTGGTTTATTTCAGTTAAGTCACTGAGCACATGCTTGACTGTAAGGATGGGAAATCAATATTTGCTTAAAGTTAAGCTTGTGCTTACGGCCTGCACTGGATTTAGCTAGGGTGCTCAGCATTTAGCAGGCCCAAACCGCTTAATAAATTGAGTCAGATTCATCCACGTTGTAATGCAGGCATCAGCACTAGACAGGAGGGAAATGGATTATGCCTCCTCTAGTCAGGGACTGCCAGGTGCTGGCATGGTTCCCCCAGCACAGACTAGAACAACCTCAGAGCTACCCTACTTTGCACCCCTTTGCCAGTGCAGGGCCTCATAACAGCTCAGCACTCCCCCACTGCTTTTCCCTCAGCCCCCATCAGAACGCGCCCTGGCCCAGCGGGTGCTGCAATGAGTATGGAGTGGGGTGAGGTTGTACAGAGTTAGGGATTGCACAGGTAACAGGAGTGACCTGCAGTTCTCCAGGAACCTCATTTCCTTATTAAAATAGGACACCGTTGTACCCCACAAGGAAAGCCTAAGCTAAGGAAATACTGAATGGTTATCCTTACAGATCGGTCCAGCCATATGTGCTGCAGCCCCTAGCGGCTCTTAAATTGTCTATCTTGGCTGCCATAGCACCTGAGACACTCACAAGTGTTAACACATTTGACCTCACAATACCCTCATAGGGGAGGCATGAACTATTAGCTCCATTTTTCAGGTAGAGGTATTGAGGTCACAACAGGCAAAAAGTCTCTCAGGCAGGCTCTGGAACAGCATGGTCCATCTTGACACAAAGGGTTGAGCAATTACGAAATAGCCTGTGCTCAGAGGTTGGAGTTCGGAACAAGTGGCTGTTGGGATGCACGTGACGGAGTTCACACTTTCATTCAAATTCAGCCCTAATGAGAGCCCAGAGGGGCAAACCACAGCCCTGTACACACATGGCCATCTGCTTGATACATCCCAAGGTGCTGTGTTTGGGTCCCAATATATCACACTGATGTGAGCATAAGCTTCCCTTGCTCTGAGTGGGTTGCAGCAGTAGCTCTCTCTCCTTGTCCTATCTGTCACATTTCCTAAGCATGGTCTGTCTGTAACCTCTTCACAGCAATGGAGGCAGAGCTTCGGCATGTCCAAAATAT